GAAGCTCAGCACCCCCAGGCTCCGCACCCCTAGGCTCCGCACCCCCAGGCTCCACACCCCAAGGCTCCGAACCCTCAGGCTCCGCACCCCCAGGCTCAGCACCCCCAGTCCCGGCACCCCCAGGCTCAGCACCCCCAGGCTCAGCACCCCCAGGCTCAGCACCCCCAGCAGGAAGAGAGTCGACAGCTACCTCAACAGGCTCAACCGGGTCTACCTGAGACACACCTGAGGGAGCGACACCCTGAGGGGGGAGGGGGTCTACAACAGCAGCACCTGGCGCGAGGAAGAGAGGCGGGGGGGGGAGCGGGGCAGTGCGGTAGGGGAAGAGGCGGTAGTAGGGGACTGACTCGTCAAAAGTGACGTCCTGAGAGGGCAAGACTCGGCGCGAGGTGGCGTGGTAAAACTGCCAACCAGACGCGTCCGGGACAAAGCCGAGGAAGATGCAGGGAATAGCACGGGAGGAGAGCTTGTCCGCAGACGTATCGCGGACAGAAGCTCGAGATCCCCAGACCCGAAAACGCGACTCATTGCCAACCTCCCCCGTCCACAGCAGTATGGGCGAGGTCTTCGGCAAGGAGACACGGGGCCAGAGGTTGAGCTGATGCGCAGCATACCGGACCGCAAACGGCCACAGAAAGTGGGGGGCAGCCGCATGGATCAAGGAGGTACGGGCGACCTCCATGACCAGGCCAATGCGGCGCTCCGCAACCCCATTCTGTTGTGGAGAGGCCAGAAGCGTGAACGACTGCTCAATGCCGTGCTCAGCACAGTAGGCCGCCAAGAGATCGGAGGAGAACTCGCCACCTCTGTTAGAGTGCAAGCGCAGGACAGCGCCGTGAAGGGCAAACGTGGGGCCGTGAGGGGCCGTGAAGGGCGAGGGCGGGGCGGAAAGGGGCCGTTAGGGGCAAGCGCGGGGCCGTAAGGGGACGTGAAGGGCAAGTGCGAGGCCGTTCGGGGTTCTTAGGGGCGAGCGCGGAGCCGTTCGGGGCCTCTAGGGGCGAGCGCGGGGCCGATGGGGGCCGTTAAGGGAGAGCGTGGGGCCGGTCGGGGCCGTTAAGGGCGAGTGCGGGGCCTTTCGGGGCCTCTAAGGGTGAGCGCGGGGCTGGAAAGGGCCTCCAGGGAGGCAAGCGCGGGGCCGACGGGGCCTCTAGGGGCAAGGTCGGGGCCGTAAGGGGCCGTTAGGGAGGTAAGCGCGGGGCCGACGGGGCCTCTAGGGGCGATCGCGGGGCCGTAAGGAGGGCCTCTAGGGAGGCAGGCGCGGGGCCGACGGGGCCTCTAGGGGCGATCGTGGGGCCGTACGGGGCCTCTAGGGAGGTAAGCGTGGGGCCGACGGGGCCTCTAGAGGCGATCGCGGGGCCGTACGGGGCCTCTAGGGAGGTAAGCGTGGGGCCAACGAGGCCTCTAGGGGCGATCGCGGGGCCGTAAGGAGGGCCTCTAGGGGCGGCTAGCACGGGGCCAACGGGGCCGTTAAAAACCGAGGCGCCCTAGGGCGCAGGTAGGTAGGTAGGTAGGTAGGTAGGTAGTGGTGGGCCCTTAAAAAAAAATTCGGTCCTAGGAAGGACATGCTCTATACCATGTTGGAATAACGGAACAGGAATGAATGGACTAGCATTGAAAATAGTACAAGTACCTAGCCCTAGAATTGTGTACCCCCTATAGGCTAGCCCACTGTAGCCTAAACAAACACAACAACATATATAATGTTTGACAAATAGACCCGAAAAAAATCGCGACGATTCATGCCTGGCACGCGCCGACCAACTTGACGGAGTTGCAGAGTTTTTTGGGGTTCGTCAACTACGTGCGCCGGTTTGTCCCCGACATGGCGAAGCTGACTGCCCCGCTGACAAACCTGCTGAGAAAGGGGGTTGAGTACACGTGGGGGGAGAAAGAGCAAGCTGCCTTCTTGGCCCTCAAAAACATTTTGTGCTCATCGCCCGTGTTTCACATCGCAGATCCGCACCGCCCGTTCGAGCTCGTCACTAACGCAAGTGACATCGCTGTGGGAGCAGTACTGTTGCAGGATTTTGGGAACGGCCTCCAGCCAATCACGTACGAGTCCCGCAAGCTGCACCCGCCCGAACGCAACTACACGATACATGACCGCGAGATGTTGGCGATCGTGCACGCGTTCAAGGTTTGGCGATGTTACCTGACTAGCGCCGATGTGACAGTAGGGACGGACTATCGATCACAACAGTACCTGCGCGCCAAACCAAATCTCAATCCGCAACAAATTCGCAGGTTGGACTACCTCGAGTCCAACTTCCACTACACAGTTACGTACAAAAAAGGCGCCTCCAACATCGCCGACGCACTCACCCGCCCTACCGCCCAACTCCATGCCATCCTACTCGCCCAAACCAACCCGCTTTTAACAGGCCTATTCACCCACAGATACCGCACCGGCCCATTTTTCACGACCGGAAATTCACAGCAACTGGCAGACGCTAAAGGAGTTTATTATGTAAAAACAGGCACCAACCGCATCTGGGTACCCGCGTACTCACTACTAAGGGAGCTGTTACTGCAGGAGGCACACGACAGAATTACCTCGGGACATTTTGGGGTAGAAAAAACGCGACAGCAACTGCAGCAGTATTACTACTGGCCGGAGTTGTTGACCGACGTTCAGCAGCACGTGGGCTCGTGACGCACGTGTTAGGTGATGAAGAGCTCGAGGAAGCGGAAGGCGGGTCAGCTGCAACCGATACCACCGCCCGAGCACGCCTAGCAGCAGGTTACCATGGACTTCGTCATAGGGTTACCTTCAAACCCTGGGGGTAACGACGCGGTGATGGTCGTCGTTGACAGGTTGATGAAGATAGCACACTTCGCTGCGTGCAAAAAGTCGATCTCAGCCGAGGAGACCGCTCGCTTGTTCATCGCAGCCGTTGTTCGCCTGCACGGGATACCAGCAGTGATTATCAGCGATAGGGACACGAAGTTCACCAGCAATTTCTGGAAGAACCTCTGGGAGCAGTTCGGAACACGGCTACAGTTCAGCTCGTCGTACCACCCCGAGACCGACGGTCAAACGGAACGGACGAATCAAACGATGGAGCAGTTGATTCGTGCCACGTGCGACGACCCGACAACTTGGGAGCAGCCGCTGCCGAATTCGCGTACAACAATGCCACATCAGCGACGACGCAGCAGTCCCCTTTCTATCTGGACTACGGGCAAAACCCTACAGTGCCCATGACGCCGAGTCCGGACAACCCAACGCCACGTGCACAGCAATTGGCCGAAATTCTGCAAGCTGCCCACACCAGAGTCGTAGAAGCAATTAAAAAGGCAAACGCCATCGCTAAGCACAACACTGACCGCCACCGCCGCCCAATCACATACCAGTCAGGGGATTACGTACTGCTCGACACGCAAAATCTGCGACTGCCCGACGTACCGAAACTTCGACCGCGCTACTGTGGCCCATTTCAAATCAGCCACATGATCACGCCAGTAACCGCGCACCTATTGTTGCCGATGGACAGGTACGTCAGCCCATCATTCCACGTCAGCCTACTTCGCCCATACATCCCAACTACCAGCCAATTGCCTCGTCACCGCCCGCATTCCAGGACTCGCCCTTCATCGGAGCCGATCATCGAGCCCGAAAAAGAACTGAGCCATCAGATTCGCCACCCTACGGGCATCAGGAGGATTGAATTCCTCGTTCGCTGGAAGGACCGCACGCCAACTGAAGATAGCTGGGTGCCCCTGGCCAACATAAAAAACCACCCTGCCCTGCAAGTGTACCTGAGGAGCCGTGGTGTGAGGATCTAGGATCGAGCTCAGAAAAGAGAATTGTAATTGAATGATCACCTGGGTACAACACGAGGCTATATATAGGCTCAACACAAGACCCCGTAACCAGGTGTTACGCGAAGGTTCCTGTCAAACATTGTATATGTTGTTGTGCTTGTTTAGGCTACAGTTGGTTAGCCTATAGGGGGTACACAATTCTAGGGTTAGGTATTTGTACTGTTTTCACTCTTAGTTCATTCATTCCTGTTCAGTTATTCCAACAGTTCCGCGGGTCGCGAAGCGTCCTGAACAGATCCTTCTCGAATTCGGTAGATGGCAATTCGGTGGCAACCGAAAAGCCAGAATCCGGTGCACGCAACCTAGCTCGGTGCTATAACTATAATAAAATATAGGAAAGCACCTAGCCTAGGAAATCAAGCAATTCATGAATGCATATAATTATCCTATGCTAGAATTAGCATGATAAAGTTAAGTCAAGCAAGCATAGCTGGCATAAGCCGTCGTACTCTCACACGGGGATTCCGCGATATATAGGCACTCGCGCAGTGGAGGGGCTTCTTGAGGGGGGGGGGAGGTAGTGTAAGGAATTTTCTCGATATTCCTTACGGAGCCCGACTACATCGCGTACAGCAACAGCCGTTGTTCGCCCGTTACTGCTAACGGGGCTTCGCCAATTTCGCGCGCTCTGTTTTGCCAAACCTCGCACTGCTGGCCCGGCCGCGTCGGCCTACGCCTCGGGACTAGCCCGAGCCTCGCTGCCAGCATAGCACTAGCTAGCTCGCATGCACCGCGTTACCGTTTGCATGTTTCGAGTATAAATGTTCGCTCATGCCTTCGCTCACATCTTTGTACTCGTTTGACACCTTAGTGCAATCCTCGCTACCTCGATCCATTGCACGCGTAACACTAGTGCTCTTTAGAAGAAAGGATAGGAGCTCTCTGGATTTTGTAGTCGAGTGTATCACATACAAAGTGATTCAGGTTTTCAGTATGATTCATGCAATACAAAGCTATCACATGAATATGAACTGCAAAACGTCGAATTGCACATGTAACCTCGAGCCGCGGTACACTCGAATGTTCGAGTAACATCGAAGGGGTGAAATTTGACTCTCGAATTTCACCGGATCGAATTCTCCCTGAGTCTCGATTCTTCTTGTGTTGCCATGTAGCACCAATCGAGTGGGTCTTCCGAAGTCAACCCACACACTTCGTGAAAACCTGCAGCTCACTCAAGCGGTGAGCACTGAAACACATTCGGTGGGTTGGGGGCATATCAATTGCCCCACCACCGTTTGCTTCGAACTCACGCGACCTCCAACATATTTTGCCGATTCAGCGCCTCGAGGCTGGAGCCCCCACTCGCCTACTGTACATGTACCAGCGGGTACGTGTACCAGTGTCTGATACATCTACTTGCGCTTCGGCTTTTTTGCCTTACGTTCCTCCTCCTTCTCCGCCTTGCGCTTTGCCAACTTCTTGTCCACGATGGGTTTCACATGCTCCGCCGCGGCGGCCCCCACCTTGAACGCGAGTGTGCCGTGCGGTCCCACCACCGCGCCAGCTGCGGCCGAGCCCACGGCCTTAGCGACACTCTTTGCGGCCTCCTTGGTGGCTTCCTTGTCCCCCTTCCGCGCGGCTGCGACGCCCTCCATCGCGGTAATCGCCATCCCGCTGCCCGGAACCGCGTGGTTAACCGCCATCTTTGCGACGTTCTTTCCAGTCAGCATATTGGCGGCCACTTTCCAGCAATTCCCCGCCAAATCCGCACATTTCTTCTTCAGACTCTTCTTGTCTGACGCTTTGGGCGAGGTCGCGAAGGAGCGCCTGCTGGCAACATTTCTAGTACGAGCCGCGCCGGTGCTGGTTCCGGTGTAATCGTGGTCGACGTCGGGAGTCCATCTTCCGGAGTGCCGCCGCGAAGCGCGGCGGCCGTGGTGGTAAGGGTCAGCGCTGCGAGCACCGACACGGACAGAAGCGCGATGAGGAAAATCCCGCGGATAGCCATTGTTAGTAGTCTTGAAGGGTGCTGCTCGGAAGTCGGTGCAAAATCTGCGAATTCTGAACAGTCGTGAGTCTGATATCCGCATCGCTTCTTTCGATGTAGAACTGATTTGATGCTCATAAGCACGCTGTTGCAGGCATATATATAGGGACTTGGGAGCGGAGGGTGGGTTGAGAGAATGTGCGGTCCGCAGCAGCAAGATCGTCGAGACGTAAGACGGGGGCGCGCTGACACATTGCTAGCAATGATTGTCTTAGTATGAAGACGGCTACTCGCTAATCAGACTAGTAATGTGAAGAAACCTCCCTTGTGAAACGCACCTACCTTCAAAACCGCAAGTTGCGGCGTGGAATCCAGTGTCTATGATTATCATCCGCGTATCGAGAACGAATGCAAACAGTGGCACTTTTGGTCCACTCCGTCATTTATTACAGCGAACTTTGAACGTTTTCTTTGACGCGAACTACGTCTAGGAGGATACGGCGAAGATTCGATACGCCGTGTCGTTGCTGCGAGGACCCGCCATGGACTGGTGGCATGTCATCGTCACAAAGCCGGTGGACTACGCGACTCTACCGGCACGGGAAGGACAAACCGGACCCTGGGCGCCGCCGTATTATGTGGAGGTGCCCCAGTATCGCACGTGGGATGCGTGGTGCGCAGGTCTGCGAGCCAATTGCGGCTTCGATCGCGGCGCGGCAGAGGCTCAGCACTTGGCGCCAACTCGGTTCCGTCCAAGACTAGACGAGCGGGTTTCTGGCGCTATGCGAGCAGGTGGGATACATGCATGAGAGTGAGCACATCGACCGCTATATCGGCGGCCTGAAGCAGGACATCGCTCAAGATATCCAGCTTCGCGGCGTCACCGATTTTCAGGAGATTCTCGCCATGGCGGAGAAAATCGATTTCTTCCGCCGACCGGGACCGGGGTCCTACGGAAGCAGCAATTGGGGACATCGGCCTCGTGGGACAAACGAGGGCGCTACGACACATGTCGTCGCCGCAAATGCCATTGCCGCACCGTTCAAAAGGCGCTACTTTGCGTGCAATCGGCCCGGACACCGCAAGAGCGAATGCCCGGAAAACGCTAAGGGAAAGGGGGAAGCTGAGCAGCAGAAACAGACCAAGCAGCAGGGAAACGTTGGGAGTCAGTAGTAGACGGGCCCTCTACTGACAGGTCACGCCGCTCACGCAATCGACCCTTACCGAGCGATTGTGCCGGTTTACGCAATCGACCACACCCGGTTGAATAATGAGGGTACTGCGGTAGACAGCCCCATACTGCTTAGTGGGAAAATTGGGACAGACTTAGTTAAAATCTTCGTAGACGGGGGAGCCAGCCACAGTCTCATCAACACTTCCACGTCACGGAAGCTGAAACTGCCACTAGACAAATGCTTACCTGAGATCGATGCAAGACTGGTCGATGGCACGCCTTTGACGATACGGGAACGGGTGGACCGAGTTCGGATTTGATGCGAGGGTAACTTCTCGTTTAGCTAGGAAATGCTCGCAACAACCCTCGACGGAACCGACCTTTTACTCGGCCGTGATTGGCTGCGACGACACAACCCGCGAATCGACTGGATGACAGGTGACTGCGCTGTGCGACTAAATGGTAACAACATCGCCTTACCTCGTTGGGGCTTGCCTGAGTCTTTGTCGGTAAGTGTCAACGCGATCACGATGAAACGCGCCGTAGCGTCAGGAGCTGACATGTGCGCGGTCGACATTCGGGAAGCCGAGGCAGCAGACAAAGGAGGGGATTTACAGAAACTGCTAGCCGACGTACCGAGTGATCTGGCAGCACTGTTGAACCAGTACAGTGACATCTTCCCGGACGACCTACCGACGGGACTACCACCTCAGCGACCGCACGACCACAGGATAGAACTAGAACCGGAGGCACAACTGACAGTACAGCGACAGTTCCGACTGACCCAACCCGAACTGGACGAACTGAGGAAGCAGCTGGATTACCTGCTCCAGAAGGAGTTCATTCGCCCTAGTTTGTCGCCCTTCGCAGCACCGATACTGTTCACACCGAAAAAAGATGGGGGATTTCGCATGTGCATAGACTACAGAGCATTGAACAGGGTTACCATCAAATCTCGTTACCCCATCCCGCGAGCCGACGAACTGATCGACCAACTGCGCACAGCCCGGGTTTTTTCGAAAATTGACCTTCGGGGAGGTTACCACCAGATTCGCGTCAACCCGCCCGACTGCTCGAAGACAGCCTTCTGAACACGCTACGGATCCTTCGAATACACCGTCATGCCCTTCAGACTGACAAACGCCCCCGCCACTTTCCAAATGACCATGAACGAAGCCTTCCGCACGCTTTGTGATAAGTGCGTCATCGTATACCTGGACGACATACTGATTTACAGCCCCGACAGAGCACAGCACTTACAGGGCATCGAAACAATTTTTCGAATACTGAGTGAAAACCGCCTACTGACCAAAGCGTCTAAGTGTGAGTTTCTCCAGGACCGACTGGAATTTTGGGGACACATCATTTCAGCTACAGGAGTGGAAATAGACCCGAAAAAGATCGCAACGATTCAAGCATGGCACGCGCCAAGCAAATTGACCGAATTGCAGAGTTTTCTGGGGTTCGTCAACTACGTGCGCCGGTTCGTCCTCGACATGGCAAAGCTGACTGCCCCGTTAACCGACCTGCTGAGGAAGGGGGTTGAGTACACGTGGGGGGAGAAAGAGCAAGCTGCCTTCTCGGCCCTCAAAAATAATTTGTGCTCACCCCCATTACTTCACATCGCAGATCCGCACCGTCCGTGTCAAATCATAATGTTGTGTAGGCTGTAGTGGGGTAGCCTATATGGGGTACACATTTCTAGGGTTGCATATTTGTGCCACATCCCATTCCTAAGTGCACTCATTCTCGTTTAAATTATCTCATGGTATCGAGTAGGTTCCCTCGTGGGAACTGTGCCTAGGGCCCACCAAGTCGAAGTTTTTTTTCCTGCCCGGAGCGCGCTCAGCCCGAGTCGCGCTCCCCTCTCTGACTTCGTCGAGCCGCCCTAGCGGCTACGTCGCCCTACCTGCGACCCCGGCCCCGTCGCCCCACCTGCGACCCCGGCCCCGTCGCCATACCTGCGGCCCCTGCCCCGGCCCCGTCGCCCTACCTGCGCCCTGGCCCCGGCCCCGTCGCCCTACCTGAACCCCGGCCCCGTCGCCCTACCTGCGACCCCGGCCTCGTCGCCCCACCTGCGATCCCGGCCCCGTCGCCATACCTGCGGCCTTGACCCTGGCCCCGTCGCCCTACCTGCGCCCCGGCCCCGTCGCCCTACCTGTGTACCGGCCCCGTCGCCCTGCCTAAGGTCCGGCCCCGCCGCCCTACCTGCGGCCCCGCCGCCCTACCTGCGGCCCCGCCCCCCTACCTGCGGCCCCGCCGCCCTACCAACGGCCCCGCCGCCCTACCTGCGGCTCCAGCGCACTACCTGCGGTCCCGGCCCCGTCCCCTACTGCCCGAGCCGCCTACGCAGCCGAGCCGCCTGCGCCGCTGAGCAGCCCGAGCCGCCCATTCCGCTTGAGCCGCTCGAGCCGCCCGAGCCGCCCAAGCCGCCCGAGCCGCCCGAGTAGCCGAGGAGCCGAGCCGCGGGTGCCGCCGAGCCGCAGTTGCAGCCGAGCCACCCGAATCGCCCGAGCCGCCGTATTGCCGAGCTGCTGTGCTGCCGGACTGCCCGAACCGCCCTGTCTGGTAAGAGCAGCGCCTCTCTCACTGCACTGCTCCTGCTCTACAGTTAGCGCTGCTAGTCTACTGCTGTCATGGCTACCCCCAGTGTTCTCACTTTTGACGCTGAGGGTCGGGCCATTGACTTTGACGTCTGGGTAGATGACCTGCAGCTTTTCCTACAGTGGGATAGGGCACACGGTCTCTCCCTCTTTGACCTCACCTCTGGTGCCTCTCCTGCCCCTGCTGCCGATGCCGACGCCACTATTCGCTCACAGTGGGCCACACGCGATGCTGCTGCACGTCTTGCTGTGCGTCGCCACCTGCCTACCACTGAGTGCGCACACTTTAGTCAATACAAGAGTGCTCAGACCTTGTACGACGCTGTAGTTGCGCGCTACTCTTCCCCTACCACTGCTGCACTGAGCCGCCTCATGCTACCATACCTCTTCCCTGACCTTGCTGCCTTTCCCACAGTCGCTCACCTCATTACGCCCCTCCGCACTAGTGACACTCGCTACCGTGCAGCGCTTCCTGCTGAGTTCTGCGCCAAGACCCCCCCCCCCCATGTACATCACCCTCTACTACATAGTCACCCGCCTCCCTGACTCCCTTCGTGTAGTCAGGGACCACTTCCTCTCAGTCTGTCCCACCACTCTCACTGTTGACCTCCTCGAGAAGGCCCTCTTGGCAGCGGAGAAGAGCATAGTCGCTGTAGGAGCCTCTCGTGGTGACCCTCGCACCCCCATCTTTGAGGGGTGTTCCCCCTCCCCCCTTTTGCCCTCTATCGCCTCTGCTGCTGCGGCCGACCTCGTTGGTCTTAAGTCGGTCGGTGCGGCGTCTACCCCTAGCGGGAGACGTCTATCTGGCAAGGGCAAGGGGGGCAGGGGCGCTGGAGGAGCTAGCGGGGGTGGTGGAGGCGGCGGTGGCGGCGACGGGGGGAGGGGGGGTGGCGGTGGGAGTGGTGGCGAGGGTGGAGGTGTCGGCGGCGGCAGTGGAGG